AGAAGATACTTAGTTATCGTCGACTATGATTGCAGTGTAAAATTTGTCATATGAATTGTCGACGGTATAATAAGGGTCTGTTGTTATAGATGAGAGTAGCTGTTTCTTATACGAACCACTAAAGCTTTTAACATCGGGCAGATTTCGTAGATCTGTTGGAACATTATTCCAACATTTTGCCCCCAAGTATTGAAAGTTTTTATGTGATGTTGATCTATTAACATATAGGTTGCAGCTTTCGCCGCTCCTACTACCTCCTGATATGTAACTAAATTTGTTCATAAAGTTTGTAGGACAATTGTCATGGATGATTCTAAACATATAATTTGACAGATGGAGTTGTCGTCTAAGATGGAGTGGTAACCATTTCATGTCTCTATAAACATTAAGGCTGCTCTCTGTTTGTGGAACGTTGAGAGCTATTTTGGCTACCTTTTTGTACAGAGTGTCAAGTTCAGCAAGTTTTGTCTTGCCAGCTCTACAATAGATCGTGTCTAAATAATCGAATTGTGGCAACATGAGTGCATTGGCAAACATTTTCCTATATTTAATGGGTAGCAGTGCTTTACTTCTATACATGGCACCAATTCTCTTCATGACCTTCCTAATAATATAATCTACATGGCTTTTGAAGTTTAATTTACTATCTAGAATGAGGCCAAGATATTTTGTCTCTTTGCACTCCTTGATTGTGAAAGTTACCTCATCACATTCAATGGTTAATTCATCATGTTTATCAACAGAATCAAATAATAGGAATTCAGTCTTCTTTTCATTGAGTGATAACTTATTAACACTGAGCCATTTAAAGATTGTCATAAGTTCTATTTTCATGTTTATAAATGTGCTTCTGCAGGTTTGATCAAAGAATAGTGCACCATCATCTGCAAATAGAAAGGGCTTAGATAGGTTACAGGCATAAATGATGTCATTTATGAAGATACTAAATAATATAGGCCCAATGATGCTTCCTTGTGGTACACCACTCAGAACTTCTAAAAATGAGCTTAGTTTGCCATTGATCCTTGTGCATTGATATCTACAAGATAAGAAGTTCTTAAACCAGGTTAAAGCAATGCCACAAATTCCATAATATGCCAATTTTTGAAGCAATATTTCATGATTCACTGTGTCAAAGGCCTTCTTAAGATCAAGAAAGATGATTCCTGGTTTATAAGACTTAGATTTACTCATATATATTTCGTCCATCAGATCGTACATCAAATAAGTTGTGGAGTGATTTTTCCGAAAGCCATATTGATGCCGGATGAAAAGTTTGTTCTCTTCCATGTAATCAGTGAGTTGCTTGCCGACAAAGTTTTCTATAAGTTTTCCTACAAGTGGAAGGATGGATATTGGCCTGTAATTATTAGGATCATCTTTCATTCCTGCCTTATGGATGGGAGTTACTCTAGCTTTTTTACAAAGGGTTGGTACAACACCTGTATTAAGGCTCAAATTGACAATATGGGTCAGTGGCTCAACTATGTGTGGTACAGCTTGCTTAAGTAAAAATAGAGGCACATCGTCATATGAGGCCTTGTCATTCTTGAGCGTTTCGACATACATTAGGATATCAGTTTCATTTATTTCTTGGAATCTATCAAATGAGATGTTAGAAGTTCTAGGAGGTAAAAAATCAGTAAAACTAACTCTTTCAATATTGGGGGCCTGATTTTGTAATCTTGATCCAACATTTGCAAAATGAAAGTTAAATAGCTCAGGATCATTCTCATTGATAGTTTGACAATTAGTTGTACCAGGGGTCATATTTGATGCCAGTTTGATAGTTTTCCATATCCCTTTAAGATCATTCTTGGCACTTTTAACTTGTAGATCATCGATTACATTAGCCTTTTTGCAGGTTTTAGCTAATTTGTTTCTAATATTTCTCTGAATCTTGTAGCAATCCCAGGCCTCATTACACTTTATACATTTGCTACATGTACCACATTTATTGCAATTTCCATTGTCTCTCTTATCCTTCTTTTTACGGAATTTCTTTAGAAGAAAATGTGTATGATTAATGGCATTTAAAAGTTCGGTAGAAGGTTTATGTATGAACTTTTCATGCCTTTCTATGGTCTTGCAAGGGAAGAAGGTTGCATATGCCTGTTCAATATGATGACAAAGGCCAGCAGTGATAGCTTCAACATCTGTACTTTCCAATAGTGGACTGTAATCAGAACAGGTATCTAGATAGTCTAAGAATTGTTTAACATTACGTTTACAATGATTTCTAATTTCAACCTTTTCAAATTTAGGAGCTATAGGTACTTTACAATCTATCTCACACATAATAGCTTGATGATCCCCAATACGTTCATCAAGAACAGAAGATTGAACAAAATCTGCATAACAGTTAGTGAATATTACATCAATAGTAGTCTGGGTAAAATTGTCTCCACGTTTAGCAACTCTAGTTATCCCTTGAATGGTTTGAACTAGATTGTAACATCTCAAGGTCATATCTAATTTTTTGTACTGGGTGGATGAGATATTATTCTGGTCAATGTTTATATCCCCAATCCAGATAACCTTTTTCCCATTCAATTTTTTCATGCAAAAATGAATGTATTCAATAAAGTTATCAACACTGCAATAATTTCCAGAGCGATAGAAGCAGCAAACATTGATCTTGCTATTCTTAAGCTTCACCCATAATGCTTCAATGTTATCAAGCTTACTATCCATAATTAATTCTGTGTAAGCTAGTTTTTTGTTTATCATTAAGCCACAACCACCCCTAGAACTGTTTGGCCTGTCGCATCGCATAAGGTTGAAGGAGGAAGGAATATTTATGGTGTCTGTGTCAATAGTTTCATTAAGATTCATCTCATTTAGGGAAAGTATGTCTAATTTATGATCTCTAATAAGTTGGGAAAGTTCATTACTTTTACCTAAATTAAGAAGCCCTCCTTGAATGTTACAATGACCAATGCAGAGGTTGTGAAACCTATCAGCTGCATTATTAAAATTTGTCATCTTGTAAATCTTATTAATTCACAATGGAATGAATAAAAGTTGTAAAGTTGTGTTTAAACTGAAAAACAGAATAAAAGCAGGTTGTATTTGTCTGGATGTCGTACTGTAAAAATAAAACTGATGGTAGGAGTGTTATGTCAGTATTCAGCAGTATTCTAATGGTGTGCATGATACTTCAAGTGCCTTGCTAATTTAACTATGCCATAATCATTGAGATGGACATTATCCTCTCCATAACTACTAAAAAATGACGATTTTCTAAAGCCTTTCTTATCACTAAACAAGAAACGATTTGTCTCGGTTGAGAGCAATTTTACATAGGTGTATTTTCTTTGCAGATTTGATATACATTCATTGATATCTGTTATAACCTTGTTTCTGGAGAAACTCTCCCGAGGTAATAAGTTAACAATTTTAATATCAGCTCCAGGTGCCCACTTGTGAAGGAAAAGTACAAGTTTTTCAATACAATTGTTTGTAAAGTCAAGAGCTCTAGCATCACCAGAAAAACTATCAGGGCACAGAAGTTTAGTCCTCATGTTGCGAGGGCTGTTCAGGATAGAGTCCACGTCATTTGTACCACACATAAGTACAATGCTTTTCACATTATTGGTATTAAGAGTGTCTTTTCTTACATCTGATTGAAACCGTTCATTGATTGCATTGGCTGTGGCACCAGGGTAGCTGAATACATGTGCCTCATGATGTTTGGACGATAGCTTTTCTCCCTCTAATTTGGAGAACATACTAGAGCTAATGTAGACACACAAAGATTTACCAGAATGTTCTATTGATCTAGTCTTAGGGGCCGAGGGTTCAGTGTTCTTAACTTGACTGGAAACATCAGTCAGAGTGGATAAGGTTGCGCTGCCATCAATAAGGCGCAGAGTAATGCTTATTCTCATGGTTTTAGACTTGTCCTGGATGAGGCTGTGTTCAAAGCTGGTCTGGGATTGTCTGGTCATATTCATTATGTCACCATGGGAGAGGGTAAGGTCAGCAATATGAGCTCTAAGTTTGGATCTGAAGCTTAGGACTCTAGTAGCCCCTAAAGAGATGGTGGAGATCATGGAGCCTGGTGAAATTGACCTCTCGTCATCCGAGTGAAAGGGAATTCCTTGCTGACCATTTCTATACTTGGTAATCATAGCACTATTGAATTTTAACTTTGGGAACTGTGAGCGTAAGCGTTCTAAAATAGACTTTAGGTAGGGATTGTCTGCTACTGGCCTTGTGTTATGAAAGCCTCCATTGTAAGCGTATGGAAAGTCCCCATAATATGCAACTGTCCTATTCTCAAACTCATGAGTATAGTGGGTTTCTATATCTAACTTGGCAGTGTCAACAAAATGAAAAACTCCTCGAATCAAATCTTGGTATGGATTGATAGAGTTGGTCACACCATTGACACCATTTACAGAGTGTTTGGGATTTTCCGAATTGATAATTTCTGCTGAATGTTCACTGTCTTCTGCTAATTTGGATAGCTCTTGGTTTAACTCAGAAACAAGATGCGAGGATGAGCTATTACTGAGGGGAACATTGATAGAATTTTCACAGTGATCAGGTACCTGGGGCAACACAGGGATAAGTGAACCATCGCTGAGGGGAACTTTGAGTGCACTGTCACTTTCTGATAATTGTTTATAGAGAATAGAAATTTGCCGACGAAGACTATCATTCTCTCTTAATAGAGTTAAGCAATTTGAACATTTATCAGTAGGACGAGAGCCGTTACTGGGGAATTTAACAGAATTCCCTCGATATCTCAGATTGTAATCTCTTGAGCCAACTGGTATTCCAGACATAGTTAATCACAAAAAGATGCTACTGTTCGAAATTTAGTTAATGATTACAGTACCTTTGTAGCATTCCGGAGGATAAGGATAAGTGATGTCTGATAATCTTTAGGTGATAGATGGGAGTAAACTGCTTTAAAAATCGATGTCTGATAGTCCTTAGGATGTCTTTAAGATAACTTTATCATGCAACAACCATTTACATTGACATACAACCTCAATAAATGTATTTAATTGTAGTTGTGAAAATAGTTTAAAACTCATATTATATTTAATATCATATTTAAAACTCATATTAAAATACATATTAATTCAGATGTTGTTCAATGAGTTAGCCACAAAAATGTTCAAACTATGTAAGAGGGTAAAGGACACAATTGCTAGTAATGCTTTTTTGAACTGAGGCTTCACAGTTCCTAAAACATCTCGCTGAAAAGATCATCCTTAAAAAAGGCCAACGGTATTGTGATGTGATATCATTTGTCAGACGCAGACTGCGTTTTGATTTACTCAGAACCTGTATAATCTGTATCAGGGGTTACAAATGTACCAAAACTCTTTCACCTACGGCGATAAGTGATTTGGACCTTAGTTCAAACAGTTTCCGAAATGAAAAAGCAAACGTTTGTGATTTGATTTTTGTTTCGGCGACTGAATCGTTGATGGGCCAACAAATATTTGTTGTTGTTGTTGTTGTGAAACCAGTATTTCTGGTACCCATAGGGGATTTGAAATCAACTTATAAATCAAATGTCAGCAAAAACATCATTCCTCAAAGTATCATAATCAAACCCCGGGCGAGTCCAAAATTAGAAACCTGAGTATTGATTCATATGAAATATGAATATCTCTTTAACCATATGTTAACGATAAAATTTCCTGAACCAGATCTGACTCGCTATGTCTGTTCAGACATGTTTGTCTGCCAGATCGTGGTACCTGAGTCCCTTCATTGCCGTGCATTGAAATCACACAATAACACACAAAGCTAGAATAACGGCAAATCGACATTCATCGCTTATTCATCGGAGTACTAATGGACAGTGTTCCTGGAATCCATGGTCCCTGCGTAAAAGATTTGTTGAGGCCAGCAGCACGATCACTCGAAGTGGAGAATCCTGAATGATGCGGAATCGAGAATCCTGAGTGTTGTGGAATCGTCTTCTTTTCCGTGCTGTGTTGCGGGGTCACTTTTCTTTCAGTGGTGCAGATCTCTCCTCCTCGTATGAAGTGATACTTTTCTGGCTCTTTCTCCATCTTTGCTTTTAAAGATTCAACAAGTTTTCTCCGTATCAGCCTCTCCTCAGGAGATCGATCAGGACTCAGAAATGTTTTATTGAACTGTGACGACTGCTTCAAGTTCTTAGCATTACTGAGCACAACAGAAACTAAGTCTGATCGGCTGAAGCAAACTCTGACTGGACGATGTTGGCCAGGCTTCGCAGTTCCCAGACGGTAACATTCCCTCACGAAGGGTTTTTCTGCTCCAGCAATTTCACTAAGCATACCTCCCACAACTGCATCAAGATTGGTTTTAGGATCCTCCCTGAGTCCGTATACCATCACACAGCGACTGCGATTATCATTGTCAACTGCTGATTGTCGAGTAGTATTAAATACTCGTATCTACATAATTATTGATTTAATTTAGGAATTGTATATAAATATCTTTGAGCAAGTTTAATTTTGTCATACGTTGTATGACCCGCCGCGCACGAAGTGCGCGGCTCCCCCTGTATCGTCGAAGACGATACACTATAGTGAAGCGACAGTGGGGGTCACCACGTGATACAAGTTTAATTGTCAATGAGAATGCACCCCAGCACTTGGCGCGCGGCGGCTTTGATGTTAGCGGCTACAAGTTAGGCAGCTGACGATAAGATGCCGCGCGCATTCAGCTTAACGGGTGATACTCGTAAAATATCTGTTCCATATATTGGACCGTCGACGAGTCCAACTCGGCGCGCTGGTAGGTTGTAAACCTACAAGCATTCAGCGTACGGCTTTTCGTTTTTGATTTTACAGGGCAACTTTTAATGATTATTAATGAAATTATCGGATATTTATAATTCAATATGTATTAATTCTGATCTTCTGTGGAAAATAAAAATTGTATTTACTTAAATTGTATTTTACTTAACCTGATCAACACTCCTAAACCTTAAACAGGCCATGGAGTGCTTGTTAGGTGGGGGTCTAGACTGCTTTTTGTTGTGATGTGAATTTGTGGATTTTATTTTTATCTATTGAATTGGTTTATTCATTTTTCAAGGGTGTCTATCCTTATAGCTAGACAATTACCATTGCTGAAATTACATGTATACTGTTCGAATCATTTTCACAGAAGTAACTTTGCAGCATTTTGGCTGTATTGCTAAATTTTGCTGTATTGCTAAATTGATCTTGTTTGATTATGATCATATATATATATATCTATCAAAAAAGGAAAGGTCATTCAAACAATATATTCATTTAGAGCCAGTGCATTGATTGTCATTTATTTGGCTACTTTTACCATTAAGGTTTTTTTATAAATATCAGTTTTTAAGGGGTTTTTTACTCAGATTTTTACTTTTATTATATAGGATCATCGTGATATTATCCGCTCCTACTAAATCGCTCGCCGAAATTTTAAGAAAATTCTTGCGAAAAGGCCCTTTGGGTATGAAATTGATCTGGTTCGGTGTATTTTTGGACGCTGATTCCGAATATGACGTAGGGTAAACATGCTTCCCTGGAGAGTTATGGGCAAAAAACCGTTTTGGTCACGTGACAGGCTAGTAAAACATGAATTCGATTATTTATAGGGCTCGGGTTAGGGTTAGGGTTGTGGTAAGGGTTATGGATAGCTTCGGGGTTATGGTTAGGGTTGGGATTAGGGTTTATGTAAAACCGTTTTGTACGGCTGCAAAACCATAAAAACCAAAGTCACGTGAAATTTTTGGGCAAGCGAATTAGTAAGAGCCGATATTATCTATATATTGTTTGAATAATACTATTTTCTCATCCAAACAATATAATATATATACATTCAATGAAATCGAGTGATGTAGAAAGTGGACACTATCTATGTTGATAGTGTTATAAACACAGTGTTTTCTCCTCTAGGCATTATATTTGAAGTGGGTTCTAAAAGGGCAGCACGTTAGGCTTCTCCTCTCCTTTTCCACCTTTAGTTATAACATCAAACGACACCAGCTTCCCAAGCAGATAATCAATAGGAAATCTCATTTGAATGAACAGCCCAACTGAAGTTCTAAGCAATCTCTATGTTGGCAATGTAAAATGTCTGGAAAGTAAGGTTCACTTCGATGGCATTGTGTCTGTCATGGTCAAACCTCCTGAGAAGGTGCTAATTCTTTACATACTAATAGTTTAAATGAAATGTATTAGCACCCAGTGCTCAATTTTTCTGTATCTTCCATCAGCTGTTACCATTTTAAACATGTATTAAACTTATGTTGCATTGGTTGATTTATAGATGAGCGCTCAACCAGGCATATTTATCAATTATGATGGTTGATGATGATCCTTCATCACTTAGGTTGAAAAGATAACAAACTGTAAGAAACTGCTGGTTCTAATAAACGACACTGCTGATGATAACATCAAGATTCACTTTGAAGAAGCATCTAATTTCATCCATAGCATAGTTTCTAATGGTGGTGCAGGTAAGCTGTTGCCATGGGTTTTTATAAAACTAGCACATGAGCTCATTGTCATTTGTCATGCTTGAAATTGCAGTTGATAAGTTAGTGTTCTTCTCAGAGATACATTTTGTAAGTTGTCCTTCCCTCTAGAACACAACCTCCATCAGTTCTTGTGCATTGCAAGATGGGTGTCAGCAGAAGTTGTTCTATCATTCTTGGCTATCTCATGAAATGTAGACAGATGACTCTTCTAGAAGCTCACCAACTTGTTAGATCCAAGAGAAAAACTGCTCGCCCAAATGAGGGGTTTTGGAGACAGCTAATTGAATTTGAAAGAGTGAGTATAATATACATTACATATTTGCATTTAATGCTATAAAAGTAATTATAATTTGTGACTTGAAATAGAAATATTCTAATGAACTTTTATTCAAAATGTTCTCTCAATTAATAAGTATTTGATCATTATCTGTTACTCAACATCTTGGACTACTTTGCAGGAACTGTTTGAAGGGAAGAACTCTGTAAGTTTTATCACGCTACCTAGTGGAGAGTGTGTTCCTAGTGTATATGAAACTGAATATAAGAATATGGTTTTTTTGCATTAGTGCAATTTTGGCTTTTTAGATTTGCAACTGTAACCTACTACCCAGATAGCATACATTTGAGTAATTTTGCCAGCTTTTCCCCAACCACCACAGACAGCTCCTGTTTATGAAATATGTATTGTAAATTTGTAAATTTGACTTTTATTTCATAATATAATGTTTATGGGCATATGTTGGAATGTGCATCAACTTTAAAACTCGGCTTGTTTTTCTGAGATTGAACATGATGATCATATAATATTATTCTCAAAATAATAACGCAATTATGTTATTTCTGTTATGTTATTATATTGCAATGTTATTATTGGATTGACAGTACAGTGCGATCTTAGCCATGAATCTATAGAAGTCAAAACCTTGAAGCATGACTACAGATAAAAAGCAGTCTAAAAATTGGGCTAACACACAATGGCAGAAAAAAGAACCTCTCTTTGTTGCTGCTCCAAAACCTAATATTATATTCCCAAAAATAAAGTGCGTCACGAGTATTATTCAATCACCAACTTCGTTATTTTACGACCTATCAAAGATGTACAGTGTCTTTAAGTTTCAAATGATGGATTTACAGCTGTCCATTAACACATGAAGACTATTTTAAATACTAATAATGATCCCTATTAAGGGACTTAAAGATAAGTAAAGAGCTAGCTCTTTCTAAGCCAATCCAGCTTCCAGACGCACAGTTTAGGACTCCCAATGCTATAGATGCGGAGCAGTACGCCCATTTATCATCTATGCTCAGGTTTTTATTTCATAGCGTTAGTTTTAGATCATAATGTTAATCTATATAAAATGTAATTAAAATAGATATTATGGTAAGATATAATGTCATCAATTTGATAACTAAATTAAAACGGGCCGAGTATTCAGTGTACAACTACTCAAATCACTAATGTAAGTACAAACTACTGTTCAATAACATATTATGTAGTACAGCTATAATAATAGCATCTAGGGTAATACTAAGGATAATAATGCCGACTGTTATTTTTTGTTGAAAATTGCAAAACATGTATTGATGACAGCAACAGCTGTAAAACGGACTTCTCTTCTATAATTAAAAACTCCTTTTTCAGGACTAACATCTTCCCCGGGTGTGAGGTTAACAGATGTACTTCTTCTTACGCTCAAACCTACAGTAACCCGTACACGGAACCTAACTACTTTCCCATCAAGTCTTCCAAAGATTTCAGGTTTGATTTCAGAAACGCGTAGTTTTGAGTCTCTGAGCAATTTATTTGACAGTTTCTTTAATATCTATAATTTATACTTGGAAATAAAACAGAAAGTCAGCTCCAAATCTGCCGATAACACTCAATAAACAACTTGGTTCTTTTTGAGCCACCCAAAATGAAGTGATAAGTGAATCGTAATAGGGGGAACTGAAAAGGTTTTGTGTGCATACTGTTATGTTCTTCTAATTCACAGAAGACGAAAGCAAGGTTTCAGTAAACGTTTGGAACATGACTTGGAGATAAAGAGGATACAAGCAGCGTGGAAAGAGTACTTTGAAACACAAAAGCAGTTGATTAATTGGGACGACAAGAAATCTGATTCTAAGCCAAAACGTGCCGCTAAGGTTTGATATCCAGTATTTTTTAAATATGAAAAAAATGTCACAATTTATTTTATTATATTTGTTATAAATAACTATAAATAAACGGCTTATTTGATCCTTGATCCATTCCTTTCAAATTAAAGTCTATAAACATTAAACATGGTACTGGTTACTAAACTATCATAAAGATTGTATTCTCCATGAAAGCATTTGCTAATAGTTGTAACTGATCGCCATAGTTCTATGGTAACTTCAGTAATGTATCTGTCTCCCATAAAATATTGTTCCCTCTATCTAGCTACCATACACTGAACCCTCTCTTTTAGGCGTAGGTCCCTGCATCTGGAGCAACTTGGAACACTAAACTAGAGAATTCCTCAAATGTAACTAGATCCCTCCTGCAGCCTGCTCCAGTTCCTGTCAAAAAGAAGAAACCTCCTCCAAAACCCAAACTTAAACCTCCTCCTGAGCCTGTAATACCTAGTCCGGATATGGGAGATCTAGATATCTTCCCTTCACACGAAACACCAGAGTGGGCTAAAGGTGGGGACTCAATTCCTGAGGAGTTGGAGCAATCTGAGATGGAGACTGAACAATTCTGGGCTTTTTACGATGACCCCTTCTAAAAGTAACCATGGTACTGTCATGGTTACATGAAGAAGAAGTACCTATACTCGAACAGTTACTCTCAGTAGTATAATTATTTCCACTCACTCCAACTCCTCTGTTGACTGCTGCAGGTTGTTTCCGAATGTCATGTAGCTTAGTAGCTTACCCAGCTAGCTTTTAAATAAAGTACATGTTACAATATTAGTATATGTAGTTACAATAGCTCCACGAGCTATTTTTAAAATACAGCACAAGTTTGCATTCAACATATTATTCATAATATTGTCCGCTTGCTGCAATTAGAAGATCTGTTTATCGTTATTTATACACGTTCTCGCCATGTATTTACTATGAATATGGTTGAAGTTTAGTCTTATCTCAGTACTAAATCACGCATAATGTGCAAATGTTTTAAACTTTTAGATTATGCTTGCTATTATCTTCTACACTCTTCTTCTTGACTATGTAGAAATATGGCAATTAGATTTAATTATACGTACACGGTACAATTTTAATTAGATTCAGTTTTTATTTTAATTAGATATTATGCTTAATGATTGTTTTAGATGATTAGATTTGATCTTATTTTTACAAATTTTATACGCATGTGATGTATTGATGTATATAAATAATACGGGTATGTTTTAAGGATTGATGTTAATAGTATGTATAAATTATGTTATAGTTCTCTATATTGTATAAATAACTATTATGCTATGTATAGACCTTTGCTTGCTGATTGGAATGATAAAGAATCAATTAATTCGTAAATTATTGAATTACAGTTATGATATTATCAACAGTATTATATACATTTATAAGATTTCCCAATTTGTTCATGCCTCTTATCACATTGTAACAGGCACGTTGAGTATCGTTGCCATGGAGACCAAGTTTAATAACATTAGGATGGTTGTAATATGTTGAGATAAATTTGTAGATTTTTATAAACTTTTACAAACTTTAGATAACAACACAGCGTTTATTATTTGCTATACTGCGTTTTCATCATTAAAACAAAAACAGTGAAATTCTAAAGTAACCTAGTTAATGGTAGTGATCGTATTGTTAGTATTATATATCTGATGTCTATAGATGTGGATACTGGCGGGGAGGTGATAATTGTTTGTTAACATTAATAGTGAGCACATGTTAAGCAGGCTGAGGAGGTGATAATTGTTTGTTTACATTTTAGGTCGAGCACATGTTAAGCAGGCTGAGGAGGTGATACATATTTTGTATTATAGAAGGTTTGTAACACTTGTAACGCCTTCTTGTTACCCCCCTTTGAGGACCCCGAATTATTTTCTGAACGAAAGCTCAAAAATAACCGAGAAATCGATCTTCTTATTAACTCATTTTGATGACTGTTTCTGACCTAAAATTGCACGAAAAATCGATTAAGCTAGGTTTCAGAACCTATAAACACTTCCTTATCCCTCAAAATTGATGTTTTATAGTTAATACGACCAACAAGCAACATATATTTTGATCCTTCGGTTCTACTCATGACCTAGACAGTTAAGCTGAACCCGACAGATTGAGGCAATCCTCACCTTAACTGATCAAACTGGTACTAACACAATTTTCAGATATAAATGTTCTTTGCGATACGTTTATTGCAGCTTTGCAACTTGAGTGAAGACCAGAGTACGAAAACACACAGCAGGTAAGCAACTCACTTTTGGTGACTGTTCCTCACGAACATTCTGATCCTGTAACATATGAACAGGGAGATCGTCTCCTTAACAAATCGAACAGGTACTATCACAATTTCCAGAGCACAGCATGATAACAAAGTCAAAAGAAACACAATGAAGGTAGGTTACCAACACCACAATATAACAATCATACTGACAACTGAATTAAATGTATTCTGACGACGGGCAGCCCTGATGTGCTCCGTGGTCCTCAACGAGCGACCACTTGTAATAGAGGTGTTATGTCATGTGACACCGATCCGTCCAATCACAAACAGGAAAAGTGAGCAGATCGATATCGTGTGTTTACTTTCCTTATCTTTATTTGACCCTCTGTTCACATTGTTATCTCTACCACATCTTGACTCGGCAAGGTCCGCGTGCAATATCTGCACCGCGGTAAACACGCCATGATTACGTCATGAACTTGAAATAGTGTGATTGTTGTACACTTATATAACCGTGCCCATCGCCCACGTACATTACAAACTGTTGGGGGGGTGGGGGCGGGGGATGGGGTTTAAGATAAACAACCGATCTTGATAGTGTGTTGGTCGCTCCTCCAACTGACTGTGATGCTTATCGTCCAGTCAGGAACAGAATAATAACATAATTTTTTAGTTATAGTATGTCTCGGCTGAACTGCGGAGATAAGTACAGTTTGCTGTAATATGTACAATTTGCTGTAATATGTGGTCGCGATTATCAACTCAGTGGAATTCCAAATGATGAACTGTGCTTTAAGTTTACACCAACTGGAACCAAAGGAATATACCCATGAGTGCTCCCTAACTTAACTTGGACGGTAAGTGTTTGACAATAAAAACTAGGACACGAATTCTCTGACAAGAAATGTTAGCAGGTTTAAATAAAATATACCTGCAATTAGCAGGTTTAAATAAAATATACCTGCAATTAGCAGGTTTAAATAAAATATACCTCCAACTGACTGTGGTGCTTATCGTCCAGTCAGGAACAGAATAATAACATAATTTTTTATTTATTCAAGTAGCCCTGGTCATTTTAAAAAAATCGTTGTCGACCTCCCTTAAAAAAACAGGGTTCAAATTTTTGTAATGTACGTGGGCGATGGGCGATGGGCACGGTTATATAAGTGTACAACAATCACACTATTTCAAGTTCATGACGTAATCATGGCGTGTTTACCGCGGTGCAGATATTGCACGCGGACCTTGCCGAGTCAAGATGTGGTATAGATAACAATGTGAACAGAGGGTCAAATAAAGATAAGGAAAGTAAACACACGATATCGATCTGCTCACTTTTCCTGTTTGTGATTGGACGGATCGGTGTCACATGACATAACACCTCTATTACAAGTGGTCGCTCGTTGAGGACCACGGAGCACATCAGGGCTGCCCGTCGTCAGAATACATTTAATTCAGTTGTCAGTATGATTGTTATATTGTGGTGTTGGTAACCTACCTTCATTGTGTTTCTTTTGACTTTGTTATCATGCTGTGCTCTGGAAATTGTGATAGTACCTGTTCGATTTGTTAAGGAGACGATCTCCCTGTTCATATGTTACAGGATCAGAATGTTCGTGAGGAACAGTCACCAAAAGTGAGTTGCTTACCTGCTGTGTGTTTTCGTACTCTGGTCTTCACTCAAGTTGCAAAGCTGCAATAAACGTATCGCAAAGAACATTTATATCTGAAAATTGTGTTAGTACCAGTTTGATCAGTTAAGGTGAGGATTGCCTCAATCTGTCGGGTTCAGCTTAACTGTCTAGGTCATGAGTAGAACCGAAGGATCAAAATATATGTTGCTTGTTGGTCGTATTAACTATAAAACATCAATTTTGAGGGATAAGGAAGTGTTTATAGGTTCTGAAACCTAGCTTAATCGATTTTTCGTGCAATTTTAGGTCAGAAACAGTCATCAAAATGAGTTAATAAGAAGATCGATTTCTCGGTTATTTTTGAGCTTTCGTTCAGAAAATAATTCGGGGTCCTCAAAGGGGGGTAACAAGAAGGCGTTACAAGTGTTACAAACCTTCTATAATACAAAATATGTATCACCTCCTCAGCCTGCTTAACATGTGCTCGACCTAAAATGTAAACAAACAATTATCACCTCCTCAGCCTGCTTAACATGTGCTCACTATTAATGTTAACAAACAATTATCACCTCCCCGCCAGTATCCACATCTATTATATAATTATATATATTATAATATATAGCGGCGCTCCTAATGTGCTGCATGGTATTGAACTTTTTGCACAGTTTTATCTATAAATCTAACAAATATATCCTTACTGTATCGTGTAGGAATGGAGGATGACTACTACAGCCTTCTTAACCTCGACCGAAAAGTAAGATACAACAGTCTTGTCTATTATAGGGATGATTAATTAATTAATTAGGGACAATTAATTAATTTAAATTATATTATCTCAAACATAGTAACTAGTAAGTCCCTGTATAATATCAAAGTAAGATAGATAAGGTAACCTTGGTAACAGATAACCCCTGTAGTGTGAAGAAGAAGAGATAAAAGGAGCGTACAGGAGACAGAGCAGACTCTTCCACCCAGATAGACACTGTGATGCTAACAAGGAGGCTGCTGAGCTCAACTTTCAGAAAATAAAACGCGCTTATGAAGGTACACATAACCTAAGTAGTACCTACTACATGTTTTATCGCACATAGTACGTCCTACAATCTACCTAGTACTTACAAAGTACCTATTTCTGTATGTCTTAAATTATTTCCTTTTACTTTCACATCTCAAGCTACCACTGAGTTAGTTTTATTCGTATAACTAATATATTGGGCAGTTCTGATAGACCCCCAAATGAGGACGATATATGATCTGTATGGTGTGGAGGGAGTAGACAGTGGCCAGCACCTGGCATTGTACGACATGGACAAAAACAAGGTATATACAATGTACAATGTACAATGTACATTGTATACTTCACGGTACATCATCCGTGCTTATTTTAGCAGACTATTGTGTTGATTTTCAGCTAAATCGACACTAAATTTCTCTTAAATTAGATTAAATATAATTTCAGCCTTATAACTGTAGCGACATACAGAGGAATATATCAATCAGAAATTGTCTTTTTGTTATTAATTATATCAATAATTTAAGTAACTTTAGATTATAATTTAAGTAGTGCTATATTGTACTAATTTCAGATAAAGGAGACATTTGAGCGGATCCAGCGTCAGACGAAGGAGAAGGAGCAAGAAGCAGCAACTAACCCCCTTAGTAACATAGCTGTAGAGTTAGACGCTAGTGGACTGTGTTACTCCAACAGAGATACTTACATTACCGAGCTATTTAATATTCCCATCAACAGTTTCTCTATATCACAAAGTGTAGACGTGAGTTTCTTAGTTACTCTCGTAGCAACTTGCTTTCTTAGCAACCGTCAAAGTATCGTGGTTACTAAAAGGAACTATCATTATTATTATTATAACCTGGTGACTCAGTGAGCTTCTTAATATGCTTACCAAGTTGTGCTGTATTGTAGGTATGTATATTTAGTGGTTATTATGTTGGTATAATAACAACATGGTGATATTTAGTAATCAAGCTGATTAATCTGGTTTATTGTAAGTGCAAATAACCCCACCACAGGCACCTCTGACAGAGAGTAACAGAGCTACAGTGATATGCACTGCAATTAACAGTGATGATATCTCGACCGGGCTCATACAGACTAATGTTAGACACACTATCTCTAATGATACCTGGCTGGAATCTGGACTAACCCTCGGTCACGGGTAATTCAATACACGAGCAGTCATTTATCTGCATTCTAACCTACCTGAATTGTTAGTTGTTACCATGGTTACTAACCAGAGTATTATATACCAGTAACCATGCGTTATTTCAGGGCTACATTCGCACTTACCGGGTACAGGAAACTTACTAAATACCTCTGGTGTCATTTTAGATCACAATGTTCAAGGATTGAGCGTGATTATCTTCAATACAGTGAGTTTTATCTTTACTGATATGTAATCTGTTATTGCGTATTATGACGATTGTTTGAAACATAACAGCAGTTATTATAGCTGATAGGTGATATGACATGACTCATTAAAAATGACCTCGTAATGATATGGAGAATATGAACAAAATGAGAAAATGCTACAACAGCCCCCCCCCCTACAACAGCCCCCCCCCCCTACAACACCCCCCCCCCCCTACAACAGCCCCCCCCCCCCCCTACAACAGCCCCCCCCCCCCTACAACAGCCCCCCCCCCCGCCCCCTACAACAGCCCCGCCCCCCCCCCCTACAACCTGCTATACCAGGTGCTGGTGCTACGCTGGGTAGTAATATCGGGGAGAATACGGTGATAAAAGCGGAGGTGTCGCTAGATAAGACAGTCAAAGGAGTGTTAACTAAGTCGTGGGAGAAGTTGAGACTTTATCTTAGTTACCAGGTAATATACCTTAGTTACCAGCTCAGGTAATATACCTTAGTTACCAGGTAATATACCTTAGTTACCAGGTAATATACCTTAGTTACCAGGTAATATACCTTAGTTACCAGGTAATATACCTTAGTTACCAGGTAATATACCTTAGTTACCAGGTAATATACCTTAGTTACCAGGTAATATACGTTTAGTTACCAGGCAATATACCTTAGTTACCAGGTAATATACCTTAGTTACCAGGTAATATACCTTAGTTACCAGGTAATATACCTTAGTTACCAGGTAATATACGTTTAGTTTTAAAGTACATTTCAAATATTGCCCTATTGCCCTAACTCCTAATACAACTAAGGCCATCCGTGCGGTGCAGGGCTTATTTTCCTTCAATACGCTTGCTAATAATATTGATAAGGAAGGGATGATCCTATGTTAGGGTCGCTGTAAAGGTGGTCTGTTCTTTATCTTGTTAATGAGAAGTGTTGGAAACTAATAATTACAGCTGGTCAGGAAACTAATAATACTGTATTTACAGATAGGACTGGAGAATCACGTGATGTCTATACAGTTGATACGACCTCTCAAGATACGATCACCTGCTGATGCTCATATTGAGTGTAGTGCAAAGTTAGTATTATATAAATTGTATTAACATATTTATTATTGTTACCATAGTGATAATTTTAATAACGAATTCACAGTAGCCACACTGTACAAACAAACATATATTCTCTTTAATAATCTAGTAACTTTTACATAACACACAGATAAGAACTGATGTTCAATATTCTACTATCATTGTCAACTTATTTAACAGAAAGTTAGTCAAATTTGTGTTGCACTCTTGTACCAGAAACACAGCATTCCTGTTTTTAAACTGAGAGCTTTCTTCTCTGAGATCTTCTTATCACCTTAGCATGAATTAGCAACAAACCAAGTTGGTAAAGTTATATTGCCCGATAAAATTAGTTACCGCACTATCCCGCCATTATTTGTACTTAAAATAAATCAGTTCAAACTTCTCTCCAACTGTAACTTGCCCGCCTTTTCCTTCAGGAAGTAAGTTGTTAACTCTTCATGTATTGTACCAGTCACAAACGTGTAGTTACTGTTGAGTGTTGGTACTACTAGGGAGCAATGCTCGTACGGGAGAGTTACTCTCCGCTCACACATACACATACTAATACATAGCACATACATATTATATAGCACATACATATAATAGCACTAACAAGTATACGGTTTTAAATAGATAAAATACACTATTCCATACATAATATAGATGGTCCGTCTTGTTATGCTGGGTGCCTAGCCTTAACTTTGGCAATCTTAATGCCAAGTGGAACCTATATAATACAATATACATATACATTGTACTTGTAACATAGTGACAAATAGTTTGTACTGGCAAGGACACAGTGTGAAGTGTTAGTGAGGTTCCTTAACAGGAGATAGTATAGCAACAGAACATGTTTAATGTTTTGACATCTTCAATTAGCTGTTAATTGTACATGGTACATATTTCTTGTATTTACAGGCTGCGTTATACATACCAATTACAGGGTTAAATCATTCCATCACTTGTTAGGGTTTCGATTGAACGTTAGAATTATCGAAGATAGAAATCACCTTGGCAATTTACCAACAGCTTTTCACCTGAAATATGCAAAATATCGCACATTGTGCAGAAGTGCTAAAAAACAGCCATTTGCATAAACCAAACATTCTTAAGCAAGCTTTTATACTTGTACAGTTAAATAATTGTTCGGTATCTGTTTAGTGTTTACCAGGGCACAGTAACTATTTGGCGTTTACCTTTAACAGTTTCGCACGCGACCTTTTCTCGCTAATATAACTAGGTAACATTTTGTATCAGAATCTATTTATAGAATTTACTGCACGGAACTCAAAAACTTTAACAAGTTGTTTGTAAACCTGAAAACTAGTGGGGAGTAAATACAAATTTGTTTTGACACGTGACGGGAATGAGCCAATCAGATGACAGCAGCGACCTCTCACAACCCCTAATTCCAATCATTTCCTCGTTGCAAAGCCTTACATTAAGGGGGCATACACCAAAACAGTGGTTAGTGCCGTCCAACCCCAATGACCTCATAGGCAGTTTAGTGACCATCTAGCGCACCGTTTCCACATCAAAAAAAAATATTTTGAGAATACCCATTTTTGTAATCGAGCATTTCCTGGTAAGAGTGGAATTTTCGGAAAAACACAATTTGTTTCATGGAGAGGCTATAAGTTAATCATTAAATAACATTTAGATATTTAGGTATAAATATATATAATATATGTACATTATATATAACCTAAATTACATAACCTTGTTAATCGGTAAATATTTTATATTACCGGGTATTCAGAGTGTTCCAAAAGTATTGTAAGGATTTACTTTTTGTATGATTACGTTAACTTACTTACCTCTATACCTTTAAGCTTACCTCTATACCTTTTAGCTTACTAAATATTACCTTGTGTTCAGGTATGATCTACTTGATGGAGCACATGTAGAGTACGGAGCATCAAAGCAACTAACTGAGTACAGTAGACTAGCTGCTCTTGTTAGAATAGGGCACATTTCTGGGGTCAAGTTAAAACTAACGTGAGTACGCCGCCGGTTGTTTTAGTTACTACAATTTGTGTGGAGACTCTTGATTATATTATCAGCAATCTTTGTAATCATTGTAAATTTGTCTGGAGTTCAACTGAATATTATGTTGTACCAGCCATGACGTATGTTGTTTCTACAATAGTGTACATCTTATGGAGCTGGGGGTTAATGTTAAGGTTGGTCACTAAGTCGAGATATTACATATAGCAGATTTACATAACAAAACTCTATATTTCAGATTATCACGAGGATCACAATCGTATAGATTTGATGTTATATTTTCTGATGTAATTGAACCAGCAGCCGTTTTATACGGCACTTTTCTACCTGTATTTGTGTACAGTGCGTTACATTGGCTAGTTATCAACCCGTATCTAAATAGACTCAAGGTAAGCTTAGTTACCTGCTATTTAAAGTCTGATCTTTCTGATAAAATGTTTTGCTAATTTTTATTCAAATTCAAATTGTCTGGTCTCCTTGAGGCCAGTCCCCGACCACACATAAAATATGAAAACTTTAACAGGCAGAGGAGATAGCATCTAAATCAGAGGAATTGAAAACTCAACTAGAACAATCTAAAGAAGAAGCTAAAGAGGCAATACAGTTAATGAGGCCTACATATGACAGGAATGTCAACGTTGAACAATGTAAAGGTGGTTTAGTGATAGTTCAAGCATGGTATGGGGTATTTGGGAGTTCCAATAAGTTGATAGACGTTACAATTCCGCTGCAATGTCTGGTCGCTAACTCTAAGCTCATGCTACCTGAGCATAATAAGGTATTTAATTGATCATTAGTCTATTTTATTTGGTTTCTACGGTTAGAGAGTCGGGTTTACCCGGATTCGGTCACAGCCAGGTTTTTTATAAACGTTGATCGCGACGACATTTTATTATGAAAAGTACAATCGACACGACTCATTCTTTCGCGTTTGCCGCGCGTCGCGTTCGAAACTTCGAACGTTCGTTAACTTAATTTGTTGCGCGCGCGATCTGCATTTATTCGGTAGAACCTAAAAATTGTCGTCCATTTATCTTCCATGCATTCTACTGAATATAATACTCCATATTTACAAATTAACATGGAATACATTCCATAGCTGATACATTCTTGACGCTAATATGTTTTCAGACGGGACTGGTCGGGTTTTATGACGTTAGTTTTGGTGAAGACAAGCAGTTGGCAGTAAAATACCGCTTCAGAAATATCATGCACGAAGTTATGATTGAGGACGGCGAATCTATGAAAATTCCTCGACAATGTTAGTAATATCTATTGAATTATTCATAAATAGGTCTATTTAACACTAACGTTAGTAGTAATAGTGCATTTTCATCGTTAACTGCAGTTACTTTGGCCTCTTGTCTTCAGCTTAAGACTAGTCATATACTTGGCTTCAGAACTAAGACTGGTCATAAACTTGGCTGCTTCCACTCTTCAGTTGTAGTCTCCGCTGTATTTGTTACTATAGTAAATAGACTCATCATTTCTTCATTATAAATAACACTAATGCTACGTTCTTTCAGCTCATCGTATAGCACAAACTGTTAGTCAAGAGGGATCTTAGCACTAGATTCAAATTATTGCAACCAACTTACAACCATGTCTGGTTATTAACTGCGTGTGTGCGACTAATCCTCCCGAAGATAAAGACCATCGCACTAAAGAAGAAGATTGTAGAAAAAGCTCATTTGACAACTGACAGATTTCCGGACTTACACCCTATAACAACACGTGACCCTGTTCAGTATACATTGGCCTGTGCAGTAACACTGCAACTCTCTCTGTGAAATTATGAGCTCGTTTCGATACGTTTCCAGCATACTATAATTCATCCTCGTCCTTTTTTCGCGGCGAACTGTTTTAGGTATGTATAATGATTTGAAATTTTGTTTTAAATTGCGGTATTGGTTCTGGATTAACTTATTTATTCAGATTTTATGGGAACTAGATTTTGATAAATACTGATTGAAGAACGGTATTAGATGTGGTCCCCGATTTTTATGATTATACGATTTGTAATGAGAATCACGTGTTTTCTACCAAGAACTTACTGTCAAACTTGTTTCCTCGACTAGTTCAAGATATAACATCCGATAAAATTGATTTAAATGGCGGCTGTTCATGTTGTGGCACATGGGTCATTGAGTTTATAAGACTAAAAGGGATAGTGAACCATGAGTCAGTGAAAAGCTTTCTAAAATGTTTTTCTTAATAGTGGAGCTGACTTTTCTCTTGAAACCCTCGTCGATGTACGGGATCTTGAGGACATAGTCAGGGGAGGGTTTACGTTCGGGATGTGAATGCTTTTTAATTGCCGGTCCCGTTATATATACAGTGGGGTGACATATGGTTTCGTCACTTCTGAATGCGCGCATTTATGGACTGGGTTTTATTTTTGCAATGATGATTTTCATAATATATAACCTGTAATACCATTTTGTATATATTTAATTTCGTTTTCCAAAAAAAAATTTTAGCGCGCGAGTTTGCGTGTACGTCACGTGATATTGTTAGCAGTGAGTGTAATCACGAGTCTGGAGAATTTGTTTAGTATGTACAAGGCCCAGACTCTTTGGCGTATCTGTAGTAAATTTTGTGGCGATGTAATATCTATGACACCACTAAAAATTGAGGAATAGGGAAGTGTTCACAATATCCAACTTAGCATGGTAAACTTATGCTATCTCTGGCTGAAGATTAACAACTCTAACAGTATTTATTTTAATCAACTGAGAAACATTTGGTCTTGTTACCTTATCAATTTTATCGAAATCGAACGATGCAGTACAAAGATATTCCGTTTTAAAATTCATGGTAATATTGAAATAGAGAAAAGTTCGTCGCTTGCTATTAAAACATGTGCTCCTTCATAAATAGAATCATTATCGTGATCAAACCCATTATTTATGGGCCTGCCAGTCTCTTCTGAAGCACGAATGAACTTAATTTCTACTGTCCGAGAAAAGTTCAGAATTTTCTCTAAACACCCATTTTTGAATTTTGTAAATCGGTGGTCCGGAAGCGGAGTTATGGTTCAATGAAAATTGTTCGTTTAACGCTGTTTGTATTGTCATTATCAGAAGTGACGAAAACATATGTCACCCCACTGTATTAGCACGAATTTTCTGTCCCAGTTTGATCGCGCCTCGCGCGCCCCAGATTCTGTCTCACTGAATGCAGTAGTGGTTTAGCGCGATACAATTTTGAAGGGGCGCGCTACAGCTATGACATTATTTGACGTGACCACAGCTTCACATCAAAGCTGGCAAATTGATTTGATTAAGGTGCGTGGTGACTGTTACCTACCTACTGTTACCTAGCAACCACAAACACTGCTCTCTCTTGAAACAAATGGTACGCATGTTGAACTTTTATCGTAAGATTTGCTGATTATTCTGCAACCTGTGCAAAATGTAATCATCAAATGACAAATATGTAACTGAGCCGGTATTGTTCAGGCAAACTTTAAACAAAAATGTCAGTTAAGAAAAGTCGTAGTAGAACATGAATTGTGAAATGAGAGGTGGTATTTGAATGATTGAACTGATGGTTTATCTACGTTCTTTGAATTGAGCTAATCCTTTTGCTTGCAGTTCGCTCTGGCACTGTCTGTCTTCTTCCTCTAGCTTATTAGCCAGCAACTGAAATTTAACATTGAAAGTCTAGGTAAGCAATTCTGGTCCTTTAAAACTGGAAAAATACTTTAAATTACAGTATATATATATATATATATATTATATATGTATATAAAAAATCTTGACCGCACATCTCACCTCTCTGCGCACTGCAAGTCTGGCTGTTTTTACAGCTTGTGTTTCTTTGTTGATAGTTTTGTAATTATCTTCCAGACTCTTCTGTTCGTGCTGGTCCTTCTGCGAATAATTAAGTTAATTTATTAAGTTAAACACTGTGTTAATACATAAAATATTATACATAATTTTCACAACAAGTTTGATATGAGGCAATAATGATTATAATTTAAAGAAAAGATGGCACTGTGCTGCAATAGTTAAGAAGTTCATGACAATCACCTCCTTCCAGTTTGCAAAGAGGCTGGTTTTTTCACACTCCACATTATCAGCTACCATTGCAGCGTTCTTCTGATCGTCCAGGATCCTACACTGCTGGCGGCGCACTGCTGGCTGTGAGCGCTGCACCCACGGGATTTTACCCTCGTAGCGCTTGCTGGTGGTGCTGTCCATGGCATCAGGCATGACTGATGCTATGTGGATGTGAACATGTAAGTGTGGGTGAGTGATGTTGATGAGTATGAATGTGCATTGTGCATGTTGGTTAACGTGTATCCCAATTATCAAATAGAGACACATTTTATTGATACAAAATAAGAAACATCTGATACAATGATAAAACATAAAATGATTAATATAAATGTATTTGAATAAAATACTACGAGGAACAATGAAATTTAAATGTTTAAACGAAATCAACGGTCAGATTACACACAATTACGTAAAATGCACTTAAATGCACTAAAATGGGCTAAAATGAGCTAAAATGAGCTAAACTGCAGGGCAGTCAAAATATAATGTTTAAAAGAAACCATGGTTAATAGTAAGGTATCTCAAGTATGATCAATTAGAGCGAATCATTGCTCTCAAACTCGATAACAGACGTCTCAGTCTTAGTGTTTAGGTTCTCAACAACATCATCATTCTTAGCAGTGGTAATCAACATGCTTGTCAGATCGTTGAAGATCTTACTGAAAAGAAGAGGGTTGGAGTTATCCGTGAGAATCTGTACAATCTCCCTTCCTCCAGCTCCAATGTTCATGAAGACAAACCTGTACATGGGTTTATTGGGCAACATTCCTTGGTCAATCATCCTGTTGTAGGTACCATTGGAGAAAAACATCTCAGAAATGTGGAGGAAACAACTGATGAGGTTAGCAAAGAACACAGCTACCAAGAGGTACCAGGTGAAAAGGAAGAGGTACTGATAAAGAACATTAGGAGCGAGAACACACTGTGCTGTCTCCACCTCTATCCCAGAGGGACCCCATCTCTTAATCTCACATGCCACCATCTTAGGAAAGAGAATGTCTTTATTGAGAGTGATGGAATTGTTAACATCCATATAAGGAGAGAACCTGGTACCGTACCAGTCAGCACCGTACCGGTACCATGTGTTATTGCCGTACTCAAACATGAAGCCTGTCAGGTAGAACACAGCAACTGTTATGAGAAGGTAGGAGAGCTTGGTTACTCCGATTACCAGACTGAAGCTGTTCTTTCGCAGCCAGGCGTAGTAACCCTTGTCGAATATGTAAGTTTTAAATCTGAAGAACAGCCAGTTGACCACTCGCTCTTGTATCTCCTCCATGTGTTTTTCACTGGCGGAGGAGGCGAGACATAGCAGCTTTATAAGCGGCTTATACTCGGACCCTCCCAACTGTTTGAACATTATGTAAGGTGTGTAGTAGAGAATAGCAACAATCCAGAAGTAAAAACTAGCCCACTGGTACCACAAGTGAAATATCCTGTCTGCTGGCAGGACATCTTTCTCACTGCCACACTTTGTTAATGTACCGTTCTTCAAGAGACGCGGCACACATGCGGGCAGATCTGATGGTAGAACTCCAGGGTAGGGCACCATGCTGGCCGGCAGATCGTACGCCTCACGCACAGTATACATTCCTAAACTCCAGCAATAGTCCTCTGCAAACTGAGGGTGAAACTTACTGAACCCGTCACACGCGATAAGGGTTCCAGAATACTGTCTCATAGTGGTTACTGCCCCCATCAGTACCATCGCTAGGAACACATAACACCTGTTTATCTGGTCCCAGCTGTCGTCTACAGTTGCGTCTTTGAACGGGGATAATCCTTTAAATCCTGATAATAACTCAATAACCATCTCTGTACGAGCTGTTCACAATCAGAATAAACAAAAACACAAACAAATGCAGACTGTAGTTATTTTTTATGCTTCTCCAACACAAACAAAAAGTCTCCCGCGTCGTAAGGAGGAGCAGATGTAAGACTATCAGGTAAGCTCTTATAGTCTCTACTGTGTCGTAAGGAGGAGCAAATGTAAGACTATCAGGTAAGCTCTTATAGTCTACACTGTTTGTAAGTGAGACCCAGTGCTTCTAACTCTGCCCCATACTGCACCCTCTCACTGTCAAGTAAGCGCCGCAAGTTCACTCTTCTAGAGGTCATGAGTTGTGACTTTGCTGAGCGCAACTGAAATGAAATTAATTATCTGTTCCGACTACAATCACGCTTGTTAGTTAATTAACCACCATGAATTTCTTCACAATTTTACCACTATTATTATCTGTTTTTGAGTTTAATGTTGAAATTAAAGTACATTTTCGTACAAAAGCTGTTCATTTAAGTCTGGTCTACCAGTACAGGCACTGCCGCCGTCAAGTTATAATTAAGTTATTTTAAGAGATTGCTAAACATCTAAATAAGTACACGTCCACTGACCTCTTGGTCAAGAGTTTCTTTGTATCTCTTTAATATTTTCCTCTCGGTAGCCTCTTCTGCTACTTCGTTCCACTGTGCTATCTGAAGGTTAAGGTGTTTTATTGTTCATAATCAGAACAACTTGTAACCACATTATGAATCTAATGAATCAAAAAAATGTTAATATTGATTGATTGATCATTACAAGCGGATCTATTATCCATATCAGCATTCAGCAATCATCCTTATTATTACAAGATATTTGATTATCGGAGATAAGTCCATGTCAGTAAGTGAATTCTTTGAACCTGACACTTGAGGAATGTTTCCTTAATAGCAGCCTTGTCAGCAGCTAATGTCTCAGTAGCTCTGATGCTTGCATTCTGTCGTGCCAATGCTCTGTGTAGCGCTGCAGCTCTCGGCACTTCACTCTCATAACGATAACTGGTTGTCATTTCCATCTTGTATCTTCTTATTTTACTTATCTAAGAAGAGTGTTGTTTCATTCATAATTTGATAATCAGAAGTGTTTCAGACTTATAATTTTAAATGCAAATCACAGATAATATTCTTATCGCAAAGTTACAAATATGAGTACATGTGGTACTTTTATGAAAAATACTGTGTTTTTGTAAAAGAGTTTTGAAAATTTGCAATAAATGAAAATTTGTTGTTAGACATTGTTATCACTGAGAGGGATGGAGAGGGTTTCTAAATGATTAGTTATAACGCTAGAGAGTAGTTTTATTTTGACACAATAGCTATAATGTAAAAAACTGAGGGAGCTTTAAAATTTACCAAATTGGCATAATATGTGAACAACTTCTTAGCTTGGACGATATGTTCAGCCTTGGGAAAGGGGAGGAAAACCTTTTTCTTCATGTCTTTGCCTTGGAACCACTTATTGTATACAAAAACTCAATATATATGAAGAAACTTGTTACCTCGTACAAGAGATGTGTGTGAAGCAGACCACTCTAACTAGTAGGAGACCGCTTCACAAAAAAAGGCGACCAAGTTACCTTTTTTATCAAGCCGATACCATAAAAATTATAAGACTGCCATTGAATTTTTCTAGGTAAAAAAGAAAAAATCTGAGTAAAAAACCCCCTTAAAAACTGAGGAACATTTATAAAAAACCTTTACAGTAAAAGTAGTGTATGACAATCCATGCACTGGCTCTAAATTTATATCTAGATCTGCTATTTTAACTGCACTACCACTTTTCATCATTCTTTCTCCTCTAAGAGCAATAATTGTTGTTCTCAATAAGTCAAATCTTATTCTTTCCCTGATAAATGTCATCGCCTCACTGTATCTTTGAACTGATTTTCTAGATAGTTTATCAGCTAACTTCTTGAAGAAAGTATTAGCTTCTCTTCCCATTCCACCTATTGTTGATAGGACTATTGGTGTTCTATGTTCCACTCCAATGATCCTTTTGTTGTGTTGAATTGTCATTGAATTGAATTGAAATGAATTGAAAAGTCCGTCCTAGCAAACTGCTAAGAAGCATAGAAAAAGGCTCCATCGTGTCGTTTACTCACTACTATACGATGAGACGATGGGTTGCGTAACAATTATATATAATTGTATATATAATTATATATATAGGTACTAGAAAGCCCGTGGTAACAGGGATGAATCAGGAAGCTAGTAGTATTCTTTGAAAAAAAGTTTTAATCGCATCCAAAAATATCCATCCCAACCGAAGATACAGCCGATTTAAATGTAAAACACTTTAAACACAACGTAATTACCACAAAACCGATCAAAATGCCGTTCAGACAATTTTTGCACGTGCAAGTGCCCATCGGCCATTCCAACACCGTTGCTATGCAACCTTTTGCTTTTAACCTAACTTTCTATTTCTCATCTGATTTGCATGTGTGCACTGTGCAGACATACAGACATACAGACATACAGACATACAGACATACAGACATACAGACATACAGACATACAGACATACAGACATACAGACATACATACAGACATACAGACATACAGACATACATACATACAGACATACAGACATACAGACATACAGACATACAGACATACAGACATACAGACATACAGACATACAGACATACAGACATACAGACATACAGACATACAGACATACAGACATACATACATACAGACATACAGACATACAGACATACAGACATACAGACATACAGACATACAGACATACAAAGATAATCTTTCAAATTATAATATTGATGGTTTCTGTTTGATTGACGATGTCAACCCCAAACCCTTCCAGATCGTTGCTCTGCGAAGCAAGAATAATAGTTCGCATCGAAACACGGCAACGTGTTTTGAGCTAATAACCTTAGCCGCATGTTTTACAAATGGATGAGTTTCAATGTGTCAAGGCGAACATTGTGAATTTCATTTAAATATAAATATTCTTTATTCACCATTTGTAGTGTCATAGATGATATTCACTGAGTCGAGGCGACTTAGGGACTGTCATTTATATTCTTTATTTACTATTAGTAAGTTTACCTCTGATCTTTGGTGAACTCTGCTGTATTAGTATACAGTATCAACCATTACATGCCGCACGGATTCGTTCATAGTCAATTGGACTGCCTCAAGATAATTAATCCACCATCTGGGTCTTTATCTCTGGCTCGCCTATCAGTCTCTTCCAATGGGGCGGCTGTCAAGCTCTTTAAAAGCAACATGGATGGGACGCATTGTTGAGGAACGGTGTGACAAGTGAACTTGATACATATATAGCTTCTTGCTGACAATAGCACCCTACAAATTCACCCTGTGCCCCACTTAGGAAGACCTATAAGTCTCCCATGATATGACAGCTGCTGGTAACAGCTGTTATTTAGGAAAGGATTATTTTCCAAATCTTTATGGTCTACTTTTATCCACACCTGAAGCTGGTCTTCCACCTCACGTGACATTGACTGTGACAGCCCTGGTACAGGCAAAGCCTCTTCGATGCGGAGAGATGCAAGATATTAACACTTTCAAATCATCACGTACCTTGTATACCCGCTTCAGTTACATTATCACAAAATCACTGTCACATGATCACTCACGCGACTATTTAAAGCTGTTATTACCGCTAAATAGGGAGAATTGTTATCAATAATACCAAGTCAAACTCTGTGGGATAAAGGGTTGTAATAAAATAGATTTATAACAAGGTTAGATAACTCTCTAGTTATAACTCTCAGATGTACTTGGTTGATCAGTGATATGAGTGTGTATGGTTATTACGCTGAGTGATCTGTGTTTAATATCCAAATCACTTCAATAAATAAAAAAGGCTTGATAAAAAAGGTAACTTGGTCGCCTTTTTTTGTGAAGCGGTCTCCTACTAGTTAGAGTGGTCTGCTTCACACACATCTCTTGTACGAGGTACAACTGAATTTCCAGAATAGCAGAGAGTTTAGCAGCAGAGTTTCATCAGCACAATCACGATGTGAATTGCCAGCTCTCATATGATTGACTGCCATAACCTTAGTTAGGAAAGGGATTGATATATATTATTCATTGTAGTTCACTCTCTCTGTATCTAAGAGTGTCTACCGTATTTATCTTACGGGTTACTTTAACCAAAAATTTTTGTGTCATCATTTTGTAACCCTTGGCATTAGGAATGGCCGTTCTTATCATGGCTTAGAATCAAAGTAACAGTAATTAAATGATGTCACAAATACTAACTAACCTCAAGGTTACAGTTCTAAGTAAATCTTAATCAATAAGTATATAGACTGAGCATTACTAATCGCACTACGTATGAGCATCCAGTATCAATTATCCTAATATAATAAGGCTCCTAATTCCCTAGCGTATTGATGAGGTTAGCTCGAACCCTGAATCATTTATATTAACCGTCTATAATTAACACTGTGTTTTCAAAAACACAACAGTACCATTAATTGTAGGTTTATAACCTACCAAGACGCGCACCGAGTTGGACTTGTCGACGGTCTATTTGAAACAAATATTTAACGAGTATCACTGTTAAAACTATTGAGGAAAACAAAATTTGGGGTCGTTCACATATTGCAAAAAAAAACAAAAACTCGTGCACGCTAACTATTAACGAGTGATACTTTCACATAGCCATGTGTATACGCGTACTGCGTGACGCGCTTGTTTCGGCGGTCGCGCGCTGCAAGCGCCAAACGACATTATCATGGATACACTTCTTTATTTTCAGCAACTAGTATGTAAGCGCGCATAAAAAGGCGCGCTACCATTTTACCGCCATTCTAGGTTTCACTGATTTCTGGGCCACAATACACAATATGTCCAATATGATTCTAATTGTTGCTCCTAATCTGATAATTCTAATGACAGTGACTGCTCCCTATTAACCAACCGACCAACATTTTCAGTCGAACCCTAAAATTACTAATACCAAATTTAAACCCCACACATGCGTGTATAGTCTCCAAATCTTCTCTCTGCTCTCGGACTTTGTTCTTTTGAATAGAACAAAGTCTAGTGTAATGTGCTTGCGAGGAAAACTTAAAAGTGCGCTATTAGCCAATCAGCATAACCACGCCCTGCTTGATTGGACCGTAAAAGATTTTGACTGCACAAATATTATTTTCCAAACATTATAACTGGCTGTTCACACACATCTCAATTAAATTCCTCTAGGCTACTGTTTTCCAAGTCTTGTCCTGTGAGTAAAGAATGTGTGAGAAGGTATTAATAAAATAAATGTATATTTTTTGAATTTTTAAATCTAATCTGAGAATGAAGTATAAAGAAATTTTTAATTAGCACTGTATAGTTTAAGATATTTATAGCTTATTATAACCATTGATACAAAGGCCATAATCTTTCGCAAGCTCTTTAATATCCACCTTGAAGCCACATTTTATATCCTTGAACCACACAATATAAACTATTAAAGCATGTTTTAGTGTAGACTTTTTGTCACAACAAGACTGCAACCTATAGTAACAACTATAAACAGAACCCCTAATGTCTACTAACAAATTTCTTCTAGTCCTAAAATGAGCCCTGTCTCTAAAAACCTAACTGAACTAGCGTTTCGGTGTGTGCAAAAGCTTTCAGGCACGCGCATTCCTTGCCCCGTTAGTTACCTGTCCTTCCAAAACCAAACTAGCAGTCAAGGACAAAAAGTCATACACCAAATGGGCATTATATTTTATGAATTGTTTTACATCTTTTTATTCTGTAAAATGTGCTAAAATTAAATTTCTTGTTTCATTGAAAATTTCTTGTTTCATTGAGAACTGTTTGTATACTTTAACAAATAGTGATTTTAACTTTGAGATAAACTGCTAGATTATTATATTTTTGTACCAATGTTCACCTAACTTAACGTCTCTCACTGACACCATCGCCCGGCAACCAATTTTAAAGTAAAATTTATTAACGATCTGACTACAGACTGGCGGTCAACGTTCCCCGTATAGTAGCTCAACGGAGGAGGTAACCAGGGCACGTGTTAATGAAAAATGTACGTGTCCTTCCACAATCCCTTCTGTTGGGTCACACGTTATTGGGAACTGAGATCGCTATCGTGTAACTAGAAGCAGTATATGCAAAGTAACTTAGGTGATAGGTGATAGGCAATATGAAATTACACATCTTACTTTAACTTTATCCCGTCATGGACTTATCAACTAACGGCTGGTGGTGGTGTCATCGTTTGTCGTACTCAAAACGTTTCGCGGTTGCAAATGCCGGCCCATCGAGGAAAATCTTGTTACTTTGTTTTTTTAACCATTATAAAGTTTGTTTAGTCGGATATAGTACAGAATTCAAACAGTTCCCGAAACAAAAAAGCGAACATTTGATTTTTGTTTCGGCGACTGAATCGTCGATGGGCCGGCAAATATTTGTTGTCGAGTAGTGTTGAATACTCATATTAACATTATTATTGATTTAATTTAATTGACGATGTCAATTCATGGCAGCTCGGCGCGGCACAGTAGCGCATTTCGCCGATCTAGCCAGTGTGAAGCCTCATTGAGTGCGCGGCGCGGCACAGTAACGCATCGCGCTACAAGGCTCTGGTGAGAGCAAGGTGATACTCGTAAAATATTTGTTCAATATATTATCAATTATGGATCACTGTCGACCACTGTCGAGTCCAACTCGGCGCGCGTCCTGTTAGGTTATAAACCTACAAGCTAACTACCAATCGGAAAAAGCAAAGTATACGCAACAAGAGCCACGCGCTGAGGTAGATTGTTAAATCTAATTCAACCCGTGAATTCAAAGTGAACGGCAAGAAGGTTAAAGCTTCCCCTGGAAACTGCCAGAGCTACAACATCATTTATCTGTTCCAATGTAGTGTCTGTGGAAAGGCTTACGTCGGTCGCACAACTCGATCTCTACGGGTTAGGACTGGAGAACATAATAAAACAAAAGTTTAATAAAACAAAAGTTAAATTTATTACCAATTATTCAATCAATACATATCATAAATTCTAATATTGGAAACACAATGCAAAATGGATGTCTTAAACTATAATTTTGTTGTGACTAATAATCTATTGACTTTCAAAGTTGAATTTTAGTTAAGTATGAAATGCCACCACATCATAGTTAGGGTAAAATGTTATTTTTAAATTTTAAAATTGAGAAGATTGCTCTATGGCTTAAAATTTAAAATTCTAGCAAAAGATATCTTATTTTTAAATAGTTGGTTACAGTTTATGACAGTACTGGCATGACTAGTTTTATTGTGGCTGGTAAAAGGACCCAGTTGCCTGTAAGGGCTTTACCGAACCCCTGGGGACCACAATGTGATAAGATCAGGCCAGATGTTTCTATGTAGAGCAATTTATTTATTTCGGAGCTATGGTTATATGATATTGCTGGTGGTCATGTTTAAAGGTCAGTTTATTCTTGTGTGCTAATTATCCATCCAGATGCTTAGTGATGTGCGTAAATCATGCCCTTCTACGATATAATATAATGTTTAACCATAAATTTGTTTTTACCACAGAAACTGTGGCACTAATGTCAATTAACAATATTTACATTCATTGATATTTAAAGCGTGTTTTTCCCCAGCACTACTACACAACAAAAACCTGTCGGCCCACCGAGGGAACACGGTCGCAGAACAAAGAGCCCAATTGTGCTCTTCTATTCTGTGATCGTGTGTATCTACTATAAACTAGCTAAATGTACTAAGAAAATTTAATGGAATCATTACAGTCGTTTGATAAGTTCATGTGTCAAAGTAATGTTCATGGTGATCAAATTTTTGGATCCCCGGTGGGCAAACACTTGTCCCAAAGGTTAAGGCAAACCTGTCAATGTTTCACCATACGAAGTAAGGCGATTTGAACATATACTCAGCTTACAACTCAACCCATGGGACAAGACGTCGTGAGCCTCAAAATTCTCCAAAATATATAGCACATACCTAGTTAGCAAACACTAAACACAACATACATACGATACCAAATAATGTATAATGCCATTACTACATTCGAAAGAAAATATATCTGCTATCTAATTTAAAAAATTGAAGAATAAACCTGAAGAAAGGAGAAGGAGAGAGGGGTTTGGGAGAGGCAGATTAGGAAAACAACAGGATCCTGTGCCGCAGGATTTTAAAATTTGTTGTATGATGATTCGTTTTGTTTCGTCTCTTAGATTAATATAGGTCTGATACCCTTGTCATGGTTCTTTGCAATAACACCGTGGTTTACTCATATGATTTAGTTTACTTAATTAACCTATTTCAATGATAATTCATTTGCATCAAAGTTGTAACTGCACCATAGTTGTCTGTCATATTTAGATTGTAGTTCCAACAAAGCTTTCTTAAGATTATTCTTGAATATACTGATAGGAGTAGAGAAGTCTATTTCACTCGTTGACTTACGGCAGTGATTCCAAATACTGGTTGATTGGTAGATGAATAGTGAGGATGGAGTGGGTGGGATGAAGTAGTTGTCTCTTCTTGGTGACCTGTTGAATAAAGAGAACATTGAGACTGGTGATTGGAACTTATTAATTTTAAACATTTCCAGTAAACAGTGCAACTTATGAAGATTGTGGACAGTCAGGAAGTTATACTCGTTACAGATTGGTTTACTGTGTTCTAGTTCAAAGAAATCTTTGCCTAACATCTGCTTGATAACTTTACCGGTCTTATCCCTAGTGATAGGCCTTACTCTGGCACATGTTTTGAACTTATTGAAGTACGCATCATTATCACCAAAGAGAATTCTTATGCATTTCTTTTGTGTTTTAAATATGGCTTCTAGTTTATTATTTGATACACCTCCCCAAACAGATATTCCATAACATAGGTGTGATTCAAAAAGGGTGTGGTACAGGTCCTTATATAGTTTTTTAGGTACACAGCGTCTAATTCCACATAGTCTACCAATCTCACATTTCAATTTACGATTTAACGCTCTTAGGTGAGCATCCCAGTTCAGTTTTTGGTCAATAATGACTCCAAGAAACTTAGTTTCCTCTACCTTTTTAATTATTATATTATTCAGTGTCAGTTCTAATTCATTGGTGTTTGAATCTGGTTCATTTCTACAGTTCGGCTTAAAGTGGATATAACAACATTTCTTTGTGTTGATATGCAGCAAGTTACTCTTCATATACTGATGAACAAGTTTAAGAATTTTGTTAGCTTTGCAGTAAAGTGTTTTTATACATTTATCTACAACAAATATGTTGGTGTCATCGGCAAAAAGTATAAACTTACCTAGGTCTGATACTCTATATATTTCATTGATGTAGATAATGAAAAGCAAGGGACCTAATACTGACCCCTGAGGCACACCAAATATTACAGACAGTTTTTCGGATTCTTCTCCAAGTACTGAAACATATTGCTGTCTATAAGAGAGGTAACTGGCTATTAATTTATTTGCAGTCCCTCGAATTCCATAATCATTCAGTTTTTTAAGCAGCTTATCATGACAGATAGTATCAAAAGCTTTACTTAAATCAATGAAGATGCCTAGTACATGATTTTTATCTCTTAGTGATTTTTCAATATAGTCGACAGAGAAGTTAAGTGCATGGCTTGTCGAATGATTTTTTCTGAACCCATATTGATTTTCATATAATAATCCTTGTGACTGAAAGAAACTGTAAAGCCTGGAGAATATGATTTTCTCGAGTATTTTACCAAATATCGCTAAGGTTGAGATAGGCCTGTAATTTTCAAGAAGCTCAGCATTTTCTTTCTTATATATTGGACTTATTTTACCTACTTTTAGGTCGTCTGGAAAAACTCCTTGTTGCATACATTCGTTATACAATACCGATAGTAGTGGGCTAATTATGCCTGATACTGCCTTTACTATATGTACTGGTATATCACTAGCCTTGCCATTCTTAAGTTCCGATATGATCTTAGCCACCTCTTCAGGTGAGCAGTCATGTAGATATATATTAGCTGTATTCGATTTAGGTAAGAGGTCACAGAAACTTGGAAGCTGATTTATTTGTATCTCTCCTAGTTCTGTGTAGGCTGCATTAAGGTTAGATGCTAGGGATACAAAATACTTATTGAATTCATTCGCTATAACTCTGCGATTAGTTATCCTTTCATTATCTATGGTAAATATAGGTCTGATATCACGTTTCTGTTTGCCACGAATTTTATTTATAAGTTCCCAGGTTTTCTTGGAGTTTCCCTGAGTTTCAAGAAACTTGTCAGAATAATATTCGGATACAGCCTTTTTACGAACCTTTTTTATAGGGTCAAATATTATAAACTTTTAAATGGTGATAAGGTAGATGAAACAAGTGATGAATATAGTTTGGGTTTACATTTGTTGGATCATGGTTTTAGACAAAGGGGAGATTTTAACAGAATTTTTAATGTGTCAATTATTGATAATTCTAGTCCTAAAACTTTGGATGTCCGTGAACATAAATATATTCAACTACTCAAGACTTTAAAACCTTTAGGAATTAACACTATAAATCCTTTTGGCCTTCCATTACTCCTAACTTCTTAATTTTAACTTTATAACCGTTTTAAGAGTGTTCAGATTTTTAAAGGAATTTTTGGTTTTACTAACTTTTTACAATTTCTATTACTGGGCCGCGCTCAGCCTGTCATTCCGCCAAATCTTTATTGTCATCTATTTATGTTAATGAACATAATAGCCTGGGGTCCTCAGGTAAAATTTCTAGGGCTTATGTCACTGAAGATGACGCCTTGCAACATGTTTGGCGATAGCCTGTAGATTGATAGTTTGATCTCAGTATTTACAACAATTCATTTAGTTTGATTGATTCAAAGGGAAACAAATTCCTCTGTTAAATCTAATTATTGGATTGTAAAATCGCCAAAATACGCCCGCATGCGTGTTTAATATGAGAAAGTTTAAATAAGTCAGGATATGTTAATCATTTATGAACATGATAGTCTGCCGTCCCCAGATAAACATAAACATGAGTTTTCGCGTACTGCGTGACGCGCTTGTTCAGCGGGTGCGCAATACTGCAAGCAATCACACAATCAATAATCAACCGAGAGGATGGGGAGTTCCAAATGGCTACGCTAGTATAATTTTAATACAATAGTTGCTCTAACCAGAGCTCTCTCGCTTGCAGTAGCGCGCGACCGCCACTATTCTACTTGTAAAACAAGCGCGTCACGCAATACGCGTAGACACATGGCTATGTTAAATACAATAGCTATGTGTATTAACGGGTGATACTAGTAAAATAATTGTTTCAATTAGACCGTCGACGAGTTCAACTCGGCGCGCGTTTTAGTAGGTTATAATAAAACAAAAGTTAATAAAACAAAAGTTAAATTTATTACCAATTATTCAATCAATACATATCATAAATTCTAATAATGGAAACACAATGCAAAATGGATGTCTTAAACTATAATTTTGTTGTGACTAATAATCTATTGACTTTCAAAGTTGAATTTTAGTTAAGTATGAAATGCCACCACATCATAGTTAGGGTAAAATGTTATTTTTAAATTTAAAAATTGAGAAGATTGCTCTATGGCTTAAAATTTAAAATTCTAGCAAAAGATATCTTATTTTTAAATAGTTGGTTACAGTTTATGACAGTACTGGCATGACTAGTTTTATTGTGGCTGGTAAAAGGACCCAGTTGCCTGTAAGGGCTTTACCGAACCCCAGGGGACCACAATGTGATAAGATCAGGCCAGATGTTTCTATGTAGAGCAATTTATTTATTTTGGAGCTATGGTTATATGCTATTGATGGTGGTCATGTTTAAAGCTCAGTTTATCCTTGTGTGCTAATTATCCATCCAGATGCTTAGTGATGTGGGTAAATCATGCCCTTCTACGATATATAATGTTTGACCATAAATTTGTTTTTACCACATAAACTGTGGCACTAATGTCAATTAACAATATTTACATTCATTGATATTTAAAGCGTGTTTTTTCCCCAGCACTACTACACAACAAAAACCTGTCGGCCCACCGAGGAAACACGGTCGCAGAACAAAGAGCCCAATTGTGCTCCTCTATTCTGTGACCGTGTGTATCTACTATAAACTAGCTAAATGTACTAAGAAAATTTAATGGAATCATTACAGTCGTTTGATAAGTTCACGTGTCAAAGTAATGTTCATGGTGATCATATTTTTGGATCCCCGGTGGGCAAACACTCGTCCGAAAGGTCAAGGCAAACCTGTCGATGTTTCACCATACGAAGTAAGGCGATTTGAACATATACTCAGCTTGCAACTCAACCCATGGGACGAGACGTCGTGAGCCTCAAAATTCTTCAAAATATATAGCACATACCTAGTTAGCAAACACTAAACACAACATACATACGATACCAAATAATGTATAATGCCATTACTACATTCGAAAGAAAATATATCTGCTATCTAATTTAAAAAATTGTAGAATAAACCTGAAGAAGGAGAAGGAGAGAGGGGTTTGGGAGAGGCAGAGTAGGAAAACAACAGGATCCTGTGCCGCAGGATTTTAAAATTTGTTGTATGATGATTCGTTTTGTTTCGTCTCTTAGATTAATATAGGTCTGATACCCTTGTCATGGTTCTTTGCAATAACACCGTGGTTTACTCATATGATTAAGTTTAGTTAATTAACCTATTTCAATGATAATTCATTTGCATCAAAGTTGTAACTGCACCATAGTTGTCTGTCATATTTAGATTGTAGTTCTAACAAAGCTTTCTTAAGATTATTCTTGAATATACTGATAGGAGTGGAGAAGTCTATTTCACTTGTTGACTTACGGCAGTGATTCCAAATACTGGTTGATTGGTAGATGAATAGTGAGGACGGAGTGGGTGGGATGAAGTAGTTGTCTCGTCTTGGTGACCTGTTGAATAAAGAGAACATTGAGACTGGTGATTGGAACTTATTAATTTTAAACATTTCCAGTAAACAGTGCAACTTATGAAGATTGTGGACAGTCAGGAAGTTATACTCGTTACAGATTGGTTTACTGTGTTCTAGTTCAAAGAAATCTTTGCCTAACATCTGCTTGATAACTTTACCGGTCTTATCCCTAGTGATAGGCCTTACTCTGGCACATGTTTTGAACTTATTGAAGTACGCATCATTATCACCAAAGAGAATTCTTATGCATTTCTTTTGTGTTTTAAATATGGCTTCTAGTTTATTATTTGAAACACCTCCCCAAACAGATATTCCATAACATAGGTGTGATTCAAAAAGGGTGTGGTACAGGTCCTTATATAGTTTTTTAGGTACACAGCGTCTAATTCCACATAGTCTACCAATCTCACATTTCAATTTACTATTTAACGCTCTTAAGTGAGCATCCCAGTTCAGTTTTTGGTCAATAATGACTCCAAGAAACTTAGTTTCCTCTACCTTTTTAATTATTATATTATTCAGTGTCAGTTCTAATTCATTGGTGTTTGAATCTGGTTCATTTCTACAGTTCGGCTTAAAGTGGATATAACAACATTTCTTTGTGTTGATATGCAGCAAGTTACTCTTCATATACTGATGAACAAGTTTAAGAATTTTGTTAGCTTTGCAGTAAAGTGTTTTTATACATTTATCTACAACAAATATGTTGGTGTCATCGGCAAAAAGTATAAACTTACCTAGATCTGATACTCTATATATTTCATTGATGTAGATAATGAAAAGCAAGGGACCTAATACTGACCCCTGAGGCACACCAAATATTACAGACAGTTTTTCGGATTCTTCTCCAAGTACTGAAACATATTGCTGTCTATTAGAGAGGTAACTGGCTATTAATTTATTTGCAGTCCCTCGAATTCCATAATCATTCAGTTTTTTAAGCAGTTTATCATGACAGATTGTATCAAAAGCTTTACTTAAATCAATGAAGATGCCTAGTACATGATTTTTATCTCTTAGTGATTTTTCAATGTAGTCGACAGAGAAGTTAAGTGCATGGCTTGTGGAATGATTTTTTCTGAAGCCATATTGATTTTCATATAATAATCCTTGCGACTGAAAGAAACTGTAAAGCCTGGAGAATATGATCTTCTCAAGTATTTTACCAAATATCGCTAAGGTTGAGATAGGCCTGTAATTTTCAAGAAGCTCAGCATTTTCTTTCTTATATATTGGACTTATTTTACCTACTTTTAGGTCGTCTGGAAAAACTCCCTGTTGCATACATTCGTTATACAATACCGATAGTAGTGGACTAATTATACCTGATACTGCCTTTACTATATGTACTGGTATATCACTAGCCTTGCCATTCTTAAGTTCCGATATGATCTTAGCCACCTCTTCAGGTGAGCAGTCATGTAGATATATATTAGCTGTATTCGTTTTAGGTAAGAGGTCACAGAAACTTGGAAGCTGATTAATTTGTATTTCTCCTAGTTCTGTGTAGGCTGCATTAAGGTTAGATGCTAGGGATACAAAATACTTATTGAATTCATTCGCTATAACTCTGCGATTAGTTATCTTTTCATTGTCTATGGTAAATATAGGTCTGATATCACGTTTCTGTTTGCCACGAATTTTATTTATAAGTTCCCAGGTTTTCTTGGAGTTTCCCTGAGTTTCAAGAAACTTGTCAGAATAATATTCAGATACAGCCTTTTTACGAACCTTTTTTAGAGCCTTTCTATATTCTTTGTAGTCATCATAACGGTTTCTTTTATTACAGCAGATAGAACACAGGCATGTGCCCCCTTTTGTGTCAGTTTCGCCATGTTTACACTTAACTTTCCTGACTTTCGCCCAGGCATCATACAGTCCATGGCAGTGGTTTACTGAGGCTATAATCCCGCCAGTAATCCAGGGGTTGTTCTGCATAGTGCGCTTAGTGGTTTTGGGTACAGCTAGTTTGCAGGTTTCGTCAATGCTGTTTTTAAAGATATCATGAAAGTTGGTAAAATCTATAATTGGTTCATTATCTAGTTTATTACCCAAGACTTCAAAACCTACAACTATGCGTAAAACTGATTTCGAAGGGGTATTAAAAATTTATCAAGAAGTAATTATGTAATTGGTAATATGTGAACAACCATTTATTAACTTTTTATTCACATAGCCATGTGTCTACGCGTACTGCGTCGCCTCCTTTGCCGCCTCGAAAGTCGCACAAAATGACCCAGGTTCATAGAATGAACGGAAATGAACGGAAATGAATTGTATCATGAAAGTGCTCACAATGGTTCAAAATTGGACTGAAGGAGTTTTGGTTGTAACCATGTCATAACCAATAACCATGTCATCACCATGTCATAACCATGTCATAACCATGTCATAACCATGTCATAACCATGTCATAACCATGTCATAGGGTGGTCCTAGGGCCAACCAAACTCTTCAGACCAATTTTGAACCATTATGAGCAATTTTGGGATACAATTCATTTCTGTTCATTTCCGTTCATTCTATGAACCTGGGTCATTTTGTGTGACTTTCGATGACCTCTAGGCCTAGCTTATGACAATATCTATCATATAAAACCGAATTGGGGGTTCCCAGCCCTTACGTAATAAGTCTCAAATTGAAATGACACACATGCGCCTCCTATTGATTTACATGATAAACCTGGTAGCGCATTTCTGTCACTTTTGTTTTTGACACACATGCGCTAGCAGGTTTATCATGTAAATCAATAAGTGGCGCATGTGTGTTATTTTAGTAGAGGCTCTTACGGGCATTGTCTGCTCGATACGCTAGGGACCCCAGATACACCTTACTAGACGTATTTTTGACCGTAGAATCGATTAAAAGTGGTTTCAAGTTGATTAGACT